GAAAAATCGAATAGCAGAAAAGTCGATAAATCGAAAAAATATCGAAAGATTACAAAATTAGAATATCGGGAAATCAAAACATGAAAAAATCATGAAATCGAAAAGTCGATACGTCGACAAATTGAGAACTCGATATAGATTAAAAATAGAAAAATGAAAAAAATAAAAAAATAAAACGATTGAAAAATTTTAAATTAAAAAGATCGATAAATCGAAAGAACGACAAATTGAACATTCAAAATCGAAATATCGAAATCTCAATAAATCCAAAAATTTAAAAACTTGAAAATTAAAATTACAAATTGAAAAATTCTGAAATTTCCAAACGTTGAAAAACTGAAATGACGAATTTTTGGGAAATCGAAAACTTGAAAGATCTACACATTGAAAAATAAAAAAATCGAAAAATTGAAAAGCCGAAAAGTCGAAAAATCAAAAAAACGTCGAAAAATTCAAAAATTACAACATCGGGAAATCAAAACATCAAAAAATCATGAAAAGTCGAGACGTCGACAAATTGAAAACTCGATATAAACCAAAATCAAAAAATGAAAAACACAAAAATTAAAAAGATCGATAAATCGAAAAACTGCAAAGGTGAAAAATCGAAAGAACGACAAATTGAACACTAAAAAATCGAAACATCGAAATCTCAATAAATCCAGAAATTGAAAATAAAAAAATCGAAAAACTGAAAAATCGAAAAACTTAAAAACCGAAAAATTGAAACATCGAAAATCAAAAAGTCGTAAAAATCGGAAAAATTTAAAATTAAAAAGCCGACAAATAGAAATATCGAGAAACGAAAAGTCGAAAAAACAAAGATTGAAGAAGTGAGAAATTGAAAAATCCAGAAACTGAAACATCAAAAAATTGAAAAACCGAGAAATCGAAAACTTAAAAAATGGTTTTCAATTTTTGGATATTTTAATTTTCAAGTTTTTTAAATTTGAAATTTTTTCTGATTATTATCAATTCTTTAAATTTTCGATTTTTCAATTATTCAGGTTTCTGATTTTTCAATTTTCCCATTTTTGGACTTTTCGCTTCCTCCATTTTTCAATCTTTAGATTTTTCAATTTTTCGGTGTTTCAATTTCGGAATTTTCACCATCCAGAAACTGAAACATCGAAAAATTGAAAAATCGAGAAATCGAAAAGTCCAAAAATGGGAAAATTGAAAAATCAGAAACCTGAAAAATTGAAAAATCGAAAATTTAAAAAATTGATAAACAGAAAAAATATGAAATTTTAAAAACTTGAAAATTAAAATATCCAAAAATTGAAAAATTCTGAAATTGAAAGATCAACAAATCGATAAATTGAAATATCGAAATGTTGAAAAATTGAAATGACGAATTTTTGGGAAATCGAAAAATTGAAAGATCTACACATTGAAAAATTAAAAAATCGAAAAATTGAAAAGCCGAAAAGTCGAAAAATCAAAAAAATGTCGAAAAATTCAAAAATTACAACATCGGGAAATCATGACATCCAAAAGTCAAGACGTCGACAAATTGAAGAATCAAAATTGGCCAAAATAAAAAAATCTAAAAGATGAAAACTGAAAAACTGAAAAAATTTAAATCATAAACATCGATAAAACGAAACATTGAAAAATTGAAAGAATGACAAATTGAACACACAAAGCATAGAAACATCGACATCTGAATAAATCCGGAAATTAAAAAATTAAAAAATCGAAAAATTTAAAAACCGAAAAATTGGAATATCCAATAATCAAAAATTTTAAAAATCGAAAAATTGAAAATCTGAAAAATCGAAAATCGAAAAATCACTGAAAAATCGAAATTTAAAAATACAAAAAATTGAAATATAAAGATATCGAAGAACTGAAATTGCAAAAGTGAAAAATCGAAAGAACGACAAATTGAACATTAAAAAATCGAAACATCGAAATCTCAATAAATCCAGAAATTGAAAAATTAAAAAATCGAAAAACTGAAAAACGAAAAATTTAAAAACCGAAGATTGAAACATCGAAAAATAAAAAATTTTAAAAATTGAAAAATTGAAAATCGTATCAATTTAATATCAAAAAGCCGACAAATCGAAAGAAAGGAAAAGTCGAAAAAACGAAAGATTAAAGAAGCAAAAAATTGAAAAATCCAGAAACTGAAACATCGAAAAATTGAAAATCGAAAAGTCAAAAAATCGTAGTCGAAATATCTAAAATTTAAAAAATCGTAAATTTAAGATATCGAAAATTTGAAAAATCGAAAACGTAAAATATTGAAAAATTGGGTAAGTGGGTAAATGAAAAAATCGATTAACCGAGAATCTGGGAAATCGAGAATTTGAAGAGTCGAAAAATTGAAAAATTGTAAAAAATGGAAAATTAAAACATCCAAAAATTGAAAAATCGAGAAACACCGAAAAATCGAAAAATCGACAAATTGAAAGTTTGAAATGTTGAAAAGTCGCAAAACTGAAATGACGAAGTTTTTAGGAATCGAAAAATTAAAAAATCAAAATATTGAAAAATTAGAGAATCTAAAAGTCAATAAAACGAAAATATATCGAAAAGATTAAAAATTGAAACATCAGGAAACAAAACATCAAAAAATCATGAAATCGAAAAGTCGAGACTTCGACAAATTGAAAACTCGACATAAACCAAATTTGAAAAATGAAAAAGATGAAAATAAAAAAATTGAAAAATTGCAAAATTGAAAAATCGAAAGAACGACAAATTGAACATTAAAAAATCGAAACATCGAAATCTCAATAAATCCAGATATTGAAAAATTAAAAAATCGAAAAACTGAAAAATCGAAAAAACGAGAGATTGAAGAAGCGAAAAATTGAAAAATCCAGCAACTGAAACATCGAAAAATTGAAAAATCGAGAAATTGAAAAGTCAAAAAGTCGTAGTCGAAATATCTAAAATTTAAAATATCGTAAATTTAAGATATCGAAAATTTGAAAAATCGAAAACGTAAAATATCGAAAAATTGAAAAAGGAGGAAAAGTAGAAGAATCGAAAAAATAAAAAAATCCGAAATTGAAACACCGAAAAATTGAAAAATCTAAAGACTGAAAAACAGAGAAATCGAAAAGTCGAAAAATTTAAAAAACCAAAAATTGAGAAATCAGAAACCTGAAAAATTTTGAAATTGAAGAATTGAAAAACTGAAAAATCGAAACATTGAGAAATGGGTAAATCAAAAAATCGATTAATCCAGAAAGTGAGAAATCGAAAATTTGAAGAGTCGAAAAATCGAAAAATCGTAAAAAACTGGAAAATTAAAACATGTAAAAATTGAAAATTCGCAATGTTGAAAAAAAGAATTGAAAAATTGAAACATTGAAAATTAGAAAATCGAAAAATCGGAAAGCTAAAAAGTCGAAAAATCGAAAACATATCTAAAAATTCAAAAATTAGAACATCGGGAAATCAAATCATCAAAATATCGAGAAATCGAAAAGTCGACAAACTAAGAAACCGAAATAGGCAAAAATCGAAAAATTGAAAGATACAAATTAAAAAATTGAAAAATCTAAAATCAATAAGATCGATAAATCGAAAAATTGAAAAATTAAAAAATCGAAAGTACGTCAAATTGAACGTTCAAAAAGTCGAAACATCGAAGTCTCAATAAATCTCTGAAAACGAAAAATTAAAAAATGGAAAACTGAAAAATTAAAAAAATTAAAATCCCAAAAAATTGAAACATCGAAAAATTGAAAATCTGAATAATCTAAAATCAAGAAGAAGATAAATCGAAACATCGAGAAATCGAAAAATCGAAAAGTTGAAGAAACAAGATTAAATTCCAAAAAATAAAACATCCAAAAATTGAAAAATCGAGAATTCGAAACATCAAAAAATGGTAATGTCGAAAAATCGTTAAATTGAAAATTCGAAATGTTGAAATATCCCAAAACCGAAACGACGAAGTTTTGAGCAATGGGAAAATTGAAAAAGCAAAACATTGAAAAATTATAAAATCGAAAAGTCAATAAAACGAAAATATGTCGAAAATTTAAAAATCGAAACATCGGGAAATCAAAACATCAAAAAGTCACGAAATTGAAAAGTCGAGACGTAGATAAATTTAGAAATCGAAATAGACCAAAATTGAAAAATCGAAAAGATGAAAATTGAAAAATTACAAAATCTAAAACTAAAAAGATCGATAAATTGAAAAATTGAAAAATCGAAAGAACGACAAATTGAACAATTGAAAAACTGTGTCTAAGAAAAAAATTATCTTACTTTTAACATTTAAATAACATTTATTGGAAAAAATAAAAAACTTTTGTGATTAATATTATCCAATATTTAAAAATACTTTCCAAAGTAAACATCGCCACCATTCGATAAACAACTTTTATCACTGTGCATAAACAACCCACATTAATAAATCTGACCACTCTCTGAGCGACATCAAAATGAAGCTAACGTTCCTTCTTCTACTTCTCGTAGCCACTGCTTTGGTAAGAAATTTCTTTCCCGATTTCTCAAAGCACCAGACAACATTTTAGGCCGAGCTGTCAACCGAACAAAAATTAAAACTTGGCCCGATAAGTAGAAGATGCGTAAGTGAATCTGGCGCAACTTTGGACGACCTCAACCTAGTTCGACTCTCGCCATCCTACCTCAACCCCAGACTGAAAAAACACAGTCTATGCATCTTGAAAAGAACCAACATCATCACCGCATCTGGGGAGATAGACACAGACGTCATCAAAAGCATCCTGGGGAGAGAGGGTGCGAGTAGGGAAAAAGTGGCCGAAATAATGAAATGTGCAGTGAAGAAGAGCACTCCTGAAGACACGGCAGTGGAACTTCGCACTTGTTTGAAGAAACAACCCAATTTTTCACCAGCTGATTAAAATTTTGTTTAATCTGATTTGTTTTTTAACCAACACAAATAAAAGTTGACTTTGACCTCTGCGGGTTATCTTTCTAAGAAAAAATCTTCGTCAACAAGTAACGTGGACGATAAGGGGACTAATTTAATTTAATTTAAGATGTAGTGGTTTAATTGTTTATTAAAATCTCTTCAACATTTTTAACAACGAAAATAACAATTAACAATCAAATTGAGTTCACCGCTCCAATGTTAAACCCTCTTCCGTCCCCATTCGAGAGTAGACTAACAATGGAGCTCTGCAATTTTTTGTCCAGTTCATTGAAAGCAATGGGTTTTGAAGTTGCCACGTTGGTACTCACTGTAGATTCCACAGGGATGTGAATTCTCGTAGGGGTCGTAGACACTTCGGGTCTGGTGGTAGTTGAAAAAGACCCAACTTGGAACCTTGTTGGTTCTGAAGCGATGTACTGAGGTCTAGAGGTTGGTTGGATAAATTGAATGGGGGCAGCAGGTCTAGGGGTTGATTGTAGAACCACGTTAACAGGATTGGGGTTGACTATATAGGGTGGAACTTTGATATGGTCGCCTTCAGGGTGGAAACCATTCTCGTCGGCTATGTATCTAACAGTGTAGACTTTTCCGGTTTCGTCAGTGTAGGAATACGACCCTTTGACTATAACAGGGGAATTTTCGACGTTTTCGTCCAAAACGTTACCTTCTTCTTCCCGAACTGTCCCATCGCTACTTTCGAAGCTAAAACAATAGTTGCAAAAAAGTGACTTATTTTAAGTCCACTTACCGGAAGAAGTAGTGTCCTGAGGGGGTGTGTTCCAGTTGGTAGTCCAAAATTTTGGCATCCTTTGACCCGTCGTACGACAACGCGGAGGACAAAAGGACACTCAAAACAAAAATCTGCAATTTTTAAAATCATTACTAATAACTGGTTTCAATGTGGTCATTTGTCTTACGTATTTGTGAGACATTGTGGATGAAGCTATACTGAAAACTAATCAGACGGAAACTTTTTTATATTTGTTAACCCCACTAAGTGCGGTCAAATGCAAAACACAGAACTTTATAGTTGGTTTCCAAAATCTCTCCAATTAACATAATTTACTTATAGTCTTTCCTTCTCCAGATCAGAGCTGGTCAAATTTTTATGGTAATTTAGCACCAGCGATATATTTCTTTATCGACAAGAACTGCTCAATTTGTTACAACATTTTAATGCGACAAATAAGATTATCTACTTTATAGCCTGAGAAAAAATCCGTAATTTAACACACTCGGTGATATAATTTTCGCGTAATGTCACCTACATAAAAATAACAATTTCGTTATTTCTAAAAGCAGAAATCGGCCAAATTGTTCACAATCTCCTAACATCTATTTATGCGTGATTTATGGCCACCGGGTTGCTCTCCCATGAACTATGCAAATCGTACAAAATCCCAATAAAAATGTTTCCGTTCTTCTACATCATACGTGAAAGAGAAAATGCATTTATGGGAGCTATATTTCACGTGAGCTTTGTTGGCGGAATTTGGACAAGGTTATTGCCAACGTCGCCATCAATCATCCGAAACTCGTTGCTGGATTATTTTTGACAGCAAAACGGAATGAAGTCGTTGTCGGTATTTAGTTTCTTGGCTAATTATTGCTTCGTAACATTTAGAAATGTCAACGTTGCGTTGCGGAATTGGAAGAGGAAGGAAAAGATCGCATAATTAACGCGAGAGCGGCAGTAATAAAGAAATGTTTCTAATTATGTAAAATAATTATGTGAATTTTGATGTTTTGTGTGGTTTAATTGACCTTTCTTTTGTGGAAGGAATTAAAATGTAAAGTGGTGGAGTCAGAATTGTTGGGTTAGGAGTGGCATTCATTTGAGGAGGTATTTTTCAATGGAAATTTAATGATTTTTGAGATGACGTCATCTTATTGTGGTAATTTTGATGTGTCAAATTGGACACAGTGTTTTCAGATGATACAAAATTTTTTAGTTGGCATTTTAGTTTATTTTTATAACTCCTAAATCAGTGTTTTACGAAATTTTGAAATTTTCTCTACAAGTTGTTTATTACGTGTTTACACTTTATTTGATTGAATTATGAAATTGTGATTTTGAAATGAAGAGACTTAAGGGTTTGAATTTCTAATTTTCGATTACACAATTTTCGTTTTTTCAAATATTCACTGCTATAATTTTTTAATTTTTGATTTTTAAATTTTGTGATTTTTGATTTTTTAATTAAGTAATCAATTTTCAATTTTTCTTTTTTAACTTTCGATGTCAACTTATTAATTCTTTAATTTTTTAATTTTTCGATTTCAGAATTTTCCAATATTCAATTTTTCGATTTTAGAATTTATTTTTTTTTGGTTTCTCATTTACGTTTTTTGAAAATGTTTGATTTTTCATTGCTTTAGTGATAGAATTTTTCGTGTTCAACTACTTGCTTTTTTAATTTTTCGACCTTTGAGTTTTTGATTTTTCTACTTTATTTTGCATTTGTCAATTTTTTACTTTTTCTATTGTTCACTTTTTCGATATCTGAGGTTTTCGATGTTTCACTCCATTTTTCCTATTTTGCAGTTTTTGGATTTGTTCAATTTTTGTATCTTTCAATTTTTTGTTTCTTTTTTATTATTTCGATTTTTCAATATTTTAATTATATTTATTTTTAATTATTTTAATTCAAATTTCGGTATTCAATCCTTCCATTTTTAATTTTTGATTATTCAGTTGCTTGATTTTTCAGATTTTTTTTAAATATACAAAATTTTCGTTTCTTCAATTCCCCTCCCTTATTTTTCGATTTTTCAGATTTTGATTTTCTTCAGTTTAATTTTCGAATTGTCAGTGTCTTACTTCTTCCATTTTTCTGTATTTCGGTTTCTGAACTTTTCAATTTTCATTCAATTTTTTCTATTTTTCAATTTTTCGATTTCTTTATTTTTGATTTTTCAATTTTTCGGTTTTTTAATTTTTCTATTTTTCGCATTTTTATTCATATAATGTTTGGTTTATTCAGTTCCTCGATTTTAAAATTTTTGATTTATTAAATTTTTTGGTTTTCCGATTTTTGAATTTTTCGATTTTTCAAGTTTTGATTTTACACTTGAATTTTAGATTTGCCAGTGTTTTACTTTTTCGATTTTTCTATTTTTTGATTTTTGAAGTTTGTAATTTTTCATTACATTTTTTCTATTTTTCAATTTTTCGATTTTTCAGCTATTCGATCTTGCAATTTTTTTATTTTTTGGCTTTATATTTTCGTTTTTTTAATTTTACAATTTTTCAATTTATGATTTTTTCACATTCATTTTCAATTTGTCAATTTTTTACTATTTCGGTTTTCCAGTGTGTTTTACTTTTTCGATTTTTCTATTTTTTGATTTTTGAAGTTTGTAATTTTTTCTATTTTTCAATTTTTCGATTTTTCAGCTATTCGATCTTGCAATTTTTTTATTTTTTGGCTTTTTATTTTCGTTTTTTTAATTTTACAATTTTTCAATTTATGATTTTTTCACATTCATTTTCAATTTGTCAATTTTTTACTTTTTCGGTTTTCCAGTTTTTCGATCTCTTCTTTTTTTTTCAATTTTTGGAATTCGCAGTTTTGCTATTTTTTATTTCTCATTATCAATTTTGTTATTTTATTATTACATAATTTTTCATTGTTTCAATTATTCGATATTTTAATTTTTGATTATTCAATTCTTTCAGTTATTCGATTTTGAAATTTTACAAATTTCGTCCTTTTCTATTTCATAGTTTTTCGATTTTAAAATTTTTGATTTTTTGATTTTTTAGATTTTGATTTTTCAACATTAAATTTAGATTTGTCAATGTTTTCCATTTTAGATTTCTGAGATTTTCTATTTTTCAATCTTTTCGATTTCTTCAATTTTTGATTTTTCAATTTTCGGTTTTGCAATTTTTCGATTTGTTAATTTTTCATTGATATCTTTATTTCCTGTTTCGATTTTTCGCATTTTAATCATATATGTATGTTTCGTTTTTTCAATGCTTCGATTTTAAAATTTTTGATCTCTCAGTTTTATAATTTTAAGAATTTTCAGTTTTTCGATTCCTTAGTTTTCAATTTTTCGATTTTTCAAATTTTAATTTTTCCACTTTAATGTTCGATTTGTCAGTATCTTACTTTTTCACTCTTTTAATTTTTCGAAATTTAGGTTATCAACTTTTTGATTTTTCAGTTTTTCGTTTTTTGTCATTGTCATATATGTCAATGTCTTTTTTATTTCTTTTTTCGGATTTTTATCGTTTTAATTATATAATTTTTGGTTTTTTACAATTTTTAGATTTAAAAAATTTGAATTTTTCAATTTTCTGATTTTACGATTTTTCAATTTTTCGATTTTTAAATTAATAATTTGTCGATTTTTACAGTCTAAATTTGAAAACTTTTCCGTTTTTTAATTTTTAATTTTTTGATTTTTCAATTTTCTCGAATTTTCAGCTTCAGGATTTTGCTTTACAATTTTTCGATGTTTCACTTTTAATTTTTTTAATTTTTCCTTTCAAATATATTTCAATTTCCAAAGTTTTCCGTTTATCATTGTATTTTCGCATTTTTTGTACCTAATAAATAAATAAATGTTTCGATTTATCAATTTTTTGATTTTAAAATTTTTGATTTTTCAATTTCCTGTTTTTCGATTTTTCAATTTTCCGATTTTAAAGTTATCAATTTTTCGATTATTAGATTCTGATTTTTTCCACTTTACTTTTCGGTTTGTCAGTGTTTTCCTTTTTCGATATCTAAAATTTTCGATTTTTCGTCCTACTTTTCTATTATTCAATTTTTTTTCTCTTCAATTTTTGATTTTTTATTGTTTTTTTGATTTCCTTTTTCGCATTCTAATCTGTTTCACTTTTTAAACTTCTCGGTTTTAAAATTATTGATTTTTTTTTCGGTTTTTCAATTTTTCGATTCTAAAATTATCAATGTTCCGGTTTTTCAGATTTTGATTTTTCCATTTTAATTTTCTATTTTTCAGTATTTTTGATTCAATTTTTTTTTTTCACTTCTTTTTCTGATTTTCAGCATTTTATTCATATAGTTTTTGTTTTTTTTCAATTTTTAGATTTTAAAAATTTAGATTTTTCAACTTTCTGATTTTTGATTTTCAAATTATCAAATTTGTCGGTTTTTCCAGTCTAAGTTTTGAAAATTTTTCAATTGTTATTTTTTTTTCGATTTTTCAATTTTTCGATCTTTCAATTTTAGGATTTTGCTTTACTATTTTTCGATCTTTCATTTATAATTTTTTCAATTTTTTCTTTCAAATCCTGATTTTTTCCTCTTTAATTTTCAAATTGCCAGTGTTTTACCTTTTCGATTTTTCTATATTTGATTTTCCATGTTTGTCATTCCATTTTTTCTACGAGTACTTTTCAATTTTTCGATTACTTCAAATTTCGATTTTTTGGTTTATCATTTTATTTTCCGCATTTTATAATATTTCGTCTTTGATTTTTTGATTTTCTGTTTTCCCATTTTTCATTGTTTCGATTTTTAAATCATCAGTTTTTTGATTTTTTGGATTTTACTTTTTCTATTTTTCAAATTTTCGATTTTTTGGTTATCCACTTTTCGATTTTTCAGATTTTGAGATTTCCACTGTTATTTTTGATTAATTGTCAATGTTTTACTTTCTGGATTTTTCTGTTTTTCGATTTCTGAGGTTTGCAATTTTCATTACATTTTTTCTAATTTTCAATTTTTCTAATTGTTCAATTTTTGGTTTTTCAATTTTTCGATTTTGCAAATTTCCTCTTTTTTGATATTTCATTGTCTTTTTTATTTCCTTTTTTTATCATTTTGATTATACATATAATTTTTGGTTTTTTCTAATTTTTAGAATTTAAAAATTTAGCCTTTTTCTGATTTTCAGCATTTTATTCATATAGTTTTTGGTTTTTTCCAATTTTTAGATTTTAAAAATTTAGATTCTCCAACTTCCTGATTTTTTGATTTTCAAATTATCAAATTTGTCGATTTTTCCAGTGTAAGTTTTGAAAATTTTTCAATTTTTAATTATTTTTTTCGATTTTTAATTTCCAAATTTTGTCATTTTTTGAATCTTCGATTTTTCAATTTTCGATCTTTCAGTTTTAGGATTTTGCTTTACTATTTTTCGATCTTTCATTTATAATTTTTTCAATTTTTTCTTTCAAATCCTGATTTTTTCCTCTTTAATTTTCAAATTGCCAGTGTTTTACCTTTTCGATTTTTCTATATTTGATTTTCCACGTTTGTCATTCCATTTTTTCTACGAGTACTTTTCAATTTTTCGATTACTTCAAATTTCGATTTTTTGGTTTATCATTTTATTTTCCGCATTTTATAATATTTCGTCTTCGATTTTTTGATTTTCTGTTTTCCCATTTTTCATTGTTTCGATTTTTAAATCATCAGTTTTTCGATTTTTTGGATTTTACTTTTTCTATTTTTCAAATTTTCGATTTTTTGGTTATCCACTTTTCGATTTTTCAGATTTTGAGATTTCCACTGTTATTTTTGATTAATTGTCAATGTTTTACTTTTTGGATTTTTCTGTTTTTCGATTTCTGAGGTTTGCAATTTTCATTACATTTTTTCTAATTTTCAATTTTTCTAATTGTTCAATTTTTGGTTTTTAAATTTTTCGATTTTGCAAATTTCCTCTTTTTTGATATTTCATTGTCTTTTTTATTTCCTTTTTTTATCATTTTGATTATACATATAATTTTTGGTTTTTTCTAATTTTTAGAATTTAAAAATTTAGCCTTTTTCTGATTTTCAGCATTTTATTCATATAGTTTTTGGTTTTTTCCAATTTTTAGATTTTAAAAATTTAGATTCCTCAACTTCCTGATTTTTTGATTTTCAAATTATCAAATTTGTCGATTTTTCCAGTGTAAGTTTTGAAAATTTTTTAATTATTTTTTTCGATTTTTAATTTCCAAATTTTGTGATTTTTTGAATCTTCGATTTTTCAATTTTCGATCTTTCAGTTTTAGGATTTTGCTTTACTATTTTTCGATCTTTCATTTATAATTTTTTCAATTTTTTCTTTCAAATCCTGATTTTTTCCTCTTTAATTTTCAAATTGCCAGTGTTTTACCTTTACGATTTTTCTATATTTGATTTTCCACATTTGTCATTCCATTTTTTCTACGAGTACTTTTCAATTTTTCGATTACTTCAAATTTCGATTTTTTGGTTTATCATTTTATTTTCCGCATTTTATAATATTTCGTCTTTGATTTTTTGATTTTCTGTTTTCCCATTTTTCATTGTTTCGATTTTTAAATCATCAGTTTTTCGATTTTTTGGATTTTACTTTTTCTATTTTTCAAATTTTCGATTTTTTGGTTATCCACTTTTCGATTTTTCAGATTTTGAGATTTCCACTGTTATTTTTGATTAATTGTCAATGTTTTACTTTTTGGATTTTTCTGTTTTTCGATTTCTAAGGTTTGCAATTTTTATTACATTTTTTCTAATTTTCAAATTTTCTAATTATTCAATTTTTGGTTTTTCAATTTTTCGAATTTGCAAATTTCCTCTTTTTTCATATTTCATTGTCTGTTTTATTTCCTTTCTTCACCATTTTGATCATACATATAATTTTTGGTTTTCTAATTTTTAGATTTTAAAATTTTTGATTTTTCAATTTCTGAATTTTCGATTTTCCAATTTTTTTAAATTATCAAATTGTGGATTTTTCCAGTCTAAGCTTTGAAAATGTTTCAAGCTTTTAATTGTAGATTTTTTGAATTCTCGATTTTTTTTTTCTTCGATTTGGTAAATTTTCGACTTCTATATTCTTAAAATGTTCAATTTCTCTTTTTTATTCTTTCAGTTTTACAATTTTGCTTTTGCAATTTTTCGGAAATTCTTCAATTTTTCAATTTCTCGATTTTTAATTTATCAGTTTTTAGTTTTTCAGTGTTTCTACTTAAAATGTTTCAGTTCTTAATTCTTCAATTTTTGATTTTATTTATTAAAGTGTATTAAAATCTTTACAAATAGAATAACTTGTCAGTTTCTAGATTTTTCACTTTGTCTGTTTTTCTAGTCAGTTACACAGTTTTCCGATTTTAAAATTTTTCCACTTCAATTTTTCATTTGTCAATTTTTGAATTTTTCGGTTTTTTAGTTTTGATTTTTCCATTATCCAATTTTTCAATTTTCGGATTACTTATTAATGTGTACTTGTGTTTAAGCTTATCCACGTAGGTTTTGGAAAAAAAAAACAGAATTCAGAAAACATTGAAGTTGTCGTGCCACTAATTAAAAAATTCCAAAAACTTGATGACGTCATTTCAAAATTTCTCTAAATAAGTTCATTTGATACAGCAGACTTCTCTAAATTTACTTTTCTATTTTCTTAGCTTTCTTTAATTTTTTCTTCAAACAGTGTGATAATATATTTTTTTGATTTTTCTAAACGTCACTCCTAGGACTTTGGAAATAAAATCTGCAAAAAATTAAAATTTGCTTCGGTTTCATAGAAAGACTAACAGGATGATGCAAATTAAAACATATTAAATAAACATTTAAGTAGAAAAAAAAGCCCAACAGAGGCGTTAACCGAGTTTTAACCTCACTTAATTTTTTAACTGATGGATTGCATACACTTAATACAATATAATTAATAAGGAATGAAAAGGATAAAGCACAACACAATTAATTCTTGACAACTTTACTAGGCAACCAACTTTACACACAAGCTTCTCTCGCAGCATCAAGACATTAACATAAGCGTGACGGCAACGTACAATTTACGACACGTTACATCAAAACGTGTAATAAATTATGATTTATTAACAGAGATTACTCTACAATTACTACTATATCCACAACATTACATAAGCACTTTTATTACAAGTATGCGCGAACTCAGAAGAACCCCATTATCAATCTCCACCTCTGAGTCAGCACAATACGTTCCCAGCAAGTAAAAGTACCCTAATTTTTACACATCGCAATATTCTTAAGGCGTGATACTCCAGGCTTTTTCACGCGGTGGCACGATATCTCCTTCGTGCTTCATGCCCTTGTCGTCAGCCTCGTAATTGACCACGTATTTGCGCCCATCTCCGTCCGAGTACTCGTAGGTGCCCTTCACGTGCAGGACCGGCTCAGTCTCGTTCTCTCGGTCCTCCAGGGTGGCGATTTCTTGACGTCGGGACCCATCCTCGGCTACGTACCTGAAAACCGAGTAATGTAATTATTTTTAGAAAAAAATATTATTTTTGATTGTTTTAAGTAAACCTGAGATGGCAATAACGTCAAAACTAAAGACTTGAAAGCAAAAATAGTACTATTTGAACTGATATCTGGTAGGGTGAAATATTTTAAAAACTACTGCAAGATTTTTAAGTTCTTCCGAAGTCTTTAAATTTTTACAAACTTAAATTAAAGTGAAGTCTTTACAAGTTGAAAGAAAATATTAAAATTTCCAAAGAATAGACTACAGAAACAAACTGATTTTGGGTAAAATATCATAAAAGAAAATTTTAGGTTTTCTCGAAATTTTGACGTTTGAAGACGTTATATAATTTTTTTTCTATTTTCCAGATAAATACGGACTGAAAAAGGGATATTAAAACTATTAGCGTAAAATAGAGCTTCTAATTTGTCTTTATGGTTAAAAATTGAAAATTCGAAAACTTTAAAAACGAAAAATTAAATCTAGAAATTGAAAGATCGAAAAATTGCAAATCGAAACTAAGGAGGCACAAAAATTGAAATATCGAGAAACAACAGGAAAAATTACAATTTGAAAAATCGAAAAATCCTAAAATCAAAAATAAAAAATAAAGAAAGTGAAAAATACAAAAACTCAAGAAACAAAGAATTAAAGAATCGAAACAGAATATTGAGAAACTGAGAACTCCAAAAGTTGAAAAATTTAAGAAGGAAAAATAAAATCTATACATTATAACATGGAAAATATGAAGAAACGAACAACTAAAAAATCGAAAAATTGAAAAAACGAAAATTCAAAATATCTAGAAATCGAAACATCAAAAAATTTCAACTCAAAATTCAAAAATTGGGAAATCGAAAAATGGAAAATTCTAAATTGACAACTCGAGAAAAGCAAATCGAAAATTCGGGAAATTAAAAACAATTAAAAACGAAAAATAAAATCGAGAAATTGAAAGATCGAAAAATTGCAAATCGAAACTCTGAAGACACAAAAAATTGAAATCTCGAGAGTTGATAAATCGATAAAATTAAGAAAAACCGAAAAATGTTAAAGTCGAAAATAAAAAATGAAGAAACTGGAAAATCTGTAAATTGAAAAACAAAAATAGCTATAAAATCTTAATTTAGAAAAATGAAAAATTTAAGAAACAAAGAATTAAAAACTGAAAATTAAACGATTTCAAATAAACGACTAGAAAAATTAAAAACGAAAATTCCAAATATCTCAGTCGAAAAGATGAAAAGGTGAAAAATTTCAAATCGCATATTTAATTTAATTCAGGATACAGAAAATCGAAAAACTAAAAAATTCAAAATGTGGAAAATCGAAAAATGTAAAAATTTTAAATTGAGAACTCGAGGTATTGCAAATCGAAAAATCGAGGCATGAAAAAAATACAAAAGCGAAAAATGCAGATCGAAAATTTGTGATATGAAAAATTGAAATATAGAAAAATAAAAAAAAATTAAAACTGAAAAATCGAAAAATTTAAAATCTAGAAATTGAAAGATCGAAAAATTTCAAATTCAAACGTTGAAGGCACAATAAATTGAGAGTTGGAAAATCGATAAAATTAAAAATTTATACTTTTACCGCGAAAAATTCTAAATTGAAAAATCGTAAAATCATAAAATTGAAAATAAAAATGAAGAAACTGCAAAACCTATAAATTAAGAAACAAAAATACGTAGAAAACCTTAATTTAGAAAGCGACAAATTTTAGAAACGGGGAATTAAAAAGATGAAAATTGGAAATCGAGAAACTGAAAACTCCAAAAATTGAAAAAAATTTAAAATTGAAAAATAAAACGATTTCAAAAACAAAAAATTTAAAAAGGAAAAATAAAATTTAGAAATAGAAGAATGGGAATTTTGAAAAAACGAAAAATTGAAAAATGGAATGTTTGTAACATCGAAAAGTCAAATATCGAGAAACTGAAAAATCAAACTGAATTTTCGAATAATTGAAAAACCCAACAATTCAAAAACGAACGTCAAAAATTTCTAGAAATAAAAACAATCGACTAAAAAATGAAAAACTAAATTGACAAACCGGGAAATTGCAAATCGAAAAATCGAAAAATAAAAAAAAATGCACAAGGGAAAATGTGTAGGTAAATCGAAAATTTCTGATACGGAAATTTAAAAAAACGAAAAACCAAAAAATCAAAAATCAAATATCGCGAAATTGAGAAATCAAACTGAATTTTCGAATAATTGAAAAATGGGAAAATTTAAAAACGAAAATTCAAAATATCTAGAAATCGAAAACTCGAAAAATTGAAAATCGAATATTGTAGTTCAAGATACACAAAATTGGAAAATTATAAAATTTAATATTTGAAAAACGCAAAAAAAGTAATTTTACAACGCAAAAAAATGCGAATCAAAAATTTGTGATATGAAAAATTGAAATATAGGAAATTTTGAAACATGAAAAATCGAAAAATTTTAGAAACGAAAAACAAAATCTAGAAATTGAAAGATCTGAAAATAGCAAATCGAAAAATTCCAAAAATAAGAAAAACTGAAAAATCTTAAAATTGGAAATAAATAATGAAGAAACTAAAAAATCTAAAGATCGAAAAACAAAAATTATCTAGAAATCTAAATGTAGAAAAACGAAAAATTTAATAATCGAGGAATTAAACAGACGAAAATTAAATATCGAGAAACTGGAAACTGAAAATTGAAAAAGTGCAAGTGAAAAAATTGGATTTCAAATAGACGACTCGAAAAATTTAAAAACGAGGAATAAAATTTAGAAATAGAAAAATGGAAAATTTGATAAAACGAAAAACTGAAAAATCGAATGTTTGAAACATCGAAAAAGCAAATATCAAGAAATTGAAAAATCAAACTCGATTTTCGAATAATTGAAAAATTGAAAAATTTCATAACGAAAATTCATAACATCTATAAATCGGAAAGTCGAAAAATTTCAAATTGAATTTGCAGTTAAGGATTCGGAAAATCGAAATTTAAAAAATTCAAAATTTGGGAAATCGAAAAATTAAAAATTTTAAATTGACGACTCGAGAATTCGCAAATCAAAAAATCCAAATCGAAAATTTGTCATATGAAAAATTGAAATATAGGAAAATTTTAAAGATGAAAAACTGAAAAATCGAAAAATAAAACCTACAAATTGAAAGATCAGAGAATTGCAAATCGAAAATTTGAAGTTAAGAAAAATTGGAATTTCAAAAAATTAAAAATTTTTAAGTTGGAAAATCGTATAAATGAAAGATTCATAATTACTAATTGGAAAAATGTTAAATTAAAAAATTGTAGAAACGAAAAGTTAAAAAATCGAAAAATAAAAAAATCGAAAATTTGGGGAATCGAAAATACTGGAAGTTCATTATAATTGTACCTGAAAAATTAAATAGAAAATCAAACAATCTTTAAATTGAAAATCGAAATTTTGAAATATCGAAAAAATGAAAAATTTCAAATCAAACAATTGAAAAAACGGAAAATTGAAACATCAATATTTTATAAAAATAGAAAATTTAAAACCGAAAAAAATACCAAAAAATATTTATCATCGGAAAACAGTAAAATCGAATACTCAAGAAACAAAAATTCTAAAATTTCGAAAGTTAATAAATCGAGAAACTGAAAAATCAAGAAATTGAAAAATTTATAATTAACAATGCGGAAAATCTCAACAGTGGAAAATAAAAAAATTGAATAATTAAAAAATCGAAAAACTGAAAAATCAAGAAATTGGAAAATCGAAAACTTTTAAATCGAAAATTTGAAGTTATGAAAAATTGAAACATCGAAAAATTAAAAATTTTAAAAATAAAAAATTTATTATTGACGATTCTAAAAATTTCATAGCAAAAAATTGAAAGAAAGAACAATTGAAAAATTGAATAATTGTAAAATCGAGAAATTGTAAATAATCGAAAAATTGACAAATAGAACCCTTAAAAAACGAAAAATGTGGTGAAAATAGAAGAGACGAAAAATCGAACAAAAGAAAAATTAAAAAATTTGAAGAAACCCAGTGTCAGAAAAATCACATAATTGAAAAATTGAATAATTTAAAAATCGAGAAATTTAAAACCGAAAAATAAAAATGTCTGTAAGTCGAAATACTGAAAAATTGCAAATCGAATAATTTTGATAGAAACGAAAAATTAACATCTTGAAAAATTGCAAAGCAAAAGACTTGAAAATCGACAAATTAAAAATTAAGAAACCCAAAATCCAAACAAATGAAAAATCGAAAAATTTAAAACTGAAAAATTAAATCTAGAGATTTGAAGATACGAGAATTTATAACTGAAAATTCAAAAACTTTCAAATAAAAAAATTGGAAAAAACGGAAAATTAAAAACTCGAAAAATACGAATACATACTGAAAATTGAAAAAAATTAGAAAAAGAACTGACAAAATTCAGAAAAATTGAAAAATTTTTCCAAATTTTGCCAAAATCGATTTAACAAATTTTCGACCTTCCAAAGACAAGTCAATAATGCTTAATTAAATAAAAAATTATATTATTAAATTTGCTTTCTTCCAAATTGTTGATTTTCAGTTTCTGAACTTGTAATACATATTTCGAGAAATTCCAAAATATTTGTGAAAAAACCTAAAAAATTAAAAATCTTTGAATTCTTACACCTGGATTAAAGTGAAATATTTACAAGTGAAAAGAAAATACTAAAGAACCCATAGAATAGACAACAAAACCAAAAATTTTAAAATTTTATTAGATTGTTCAAAAAATATAACTATGAAAAAAAAATTAAGAATGTTTTACACAAAAGTCATTCTCTTTACAGGAAAATATCCAAATATTAAAAAAATAAATGTTCTAAATCTGCAAAATAATAATTTAAAATTTGTATATAATTTCAAAAATTATTATAAAAGTTTCGAGTTTGTCCAAATTAAAACATATAACAGTTTTCCACTCTTAACACTTATTTCTAGCTCAAAGCATAGGAATCAAAATCAAAATTTTCAGAGAACAGACAATAAAAACTAAAAATCTGAAGAAATTGTTTTTTTAACATTAAAAATTTCTAAAAGAAGTCCAAATAATTATTAATTGTCACATTTTAAATTTTGTAATTTTGTCACAAAAATAATGATCAAAAAACATTTTATATAAATGTTTCAGTTAAAAAGAAAGTAAAATTGATCTGTTTCGAAAACTACTCCAAATTTTTAAGTTTTCCCAAAATCTATAAATTTTTACAACCTAAAAGAAAATATTAAAAATTTTCAAAGAAATAATAATAGAGACAAAAAAAATAAAAAATGATGCAAATTTTGAAATGGAATAAACCTTGTCCAAAAAATATATGTATTAAAAATAAAAAAATATTATGTAGTACTTTATAGAAAAATCATCTCAAGGAAAGTGTAAAACTGATAAAAATCATACTTTAAAAACGTGATTCAAACAGAACTTAAAAAAATCATTAAACACGAAATTTTAAAAATTCTCCCAAACAACCAACAAACAATAAACAAATTTATTATTTAATATATTCACCGCCGCCACTGCTTCCCGCACCTTCTTCTACGCAAGAATTTCAAACATTACACATTACGATTCAGCTCATCTTCAGGTCTCAGCGCCAGACCTTGACTGATTGATGAATTAATTAACATTCGTCTTTTCTCTATTTCCTTCACCGTGATGCAACTAAAAATACCTTAGACAAAACAAACTCACTCGAACTGGTAGCCGTTGCTGCGCTGATGGTTCTTGTAAAACACTATCTGGTTATTGGGCGGATTGCTGGGCTCGTCGTTGGGAATGGGCGGACGGCCCGAACCACCGTGCAGGAAAACGCTCAAAACGACCAGTGCGACTGCCAAGGATGCTTCCATCGTGAAAAATAAAGAAGACCGAAATTGATCCACTTTTTAATAAGTATATCGAGACGAAAAAAACCAAAAACATGCGAGGTCGACTTCTTGGATTTGTCCATCGAAGGTTGGGAAGACGGGTTCATTACACCGGGATAATTAATGTAGATGGGTTATCTTTATCGGTTTTGCGAATTATGTGGTATTCTGGTGGATTTAAGAAGTGGTTTGATTGTGGAGATCCTGGAGCCAGTGTTGGACGAGTTGTTTTTTGCTGGGTTTATCATTTTAATGGGTGCTTCTTCGGGTGACATTTATCGGAATTAATGGGTTTCGACATTTGTGTTGTTTATGGAAATTATGTAAAGGTAATTTGGTTTTGGGCAGTTGCCGAATATGCTAAAATAACACTTTGGTTTTTAAATGAGCCGGGAAGAACGTCAATAATTTAGATTTTTTTGGGTGCAGATTTTTAATTAGGTTTCAGAAGTCTAGTTTTTGGGCGATTCTATCGAAAGTAAAATTGTACGAGTTTTATTTTTAGTAGCTGTTAATTAAAGATTATTGTTAAGTGTTTTATTAACCCAGAAAAGCAGATTATTTTTGATTTGTATTATTTCTGTTACACAAGCGAGAATCGACGAGAAACAAAGAAAATACTTTGATTAAAAGTAGCATAAAATTCTACATCAGTGAAATTTCGTCGTCGAGTCAGCCATGGAACTATTTTTTTTTTAACTGTGGTGGCAGTGCTGTTGTCATACATAACCTCAAAAAACGAACATCTGTTAGACAGTTACAGATTTCCGAAGATTTGTCTTTGATAGAATTTTCAAATTACTATATTCCGACCGTCAATTTGAAAGTTTGAGTTGAAACTGCAACTATCAAAGACAAACTTTCAAAACACACGAAAACGCGGAAGGAAACAGCATTTACTATGCAAAATATTTAGGTGACGTCATCAAATTGTTGGTGGGGATGATCAGTCAATGCAACCAACAGTTTCGGAGATTGTCTTATAAAATCGATACAGACAAGAGACGACAGACAGACAGACAGAGACGGAAATGGAAGACCTATTTTTTCCATGCATACTCTGGAAGTAATGAAAAATCGTTAATAGAAAACTCTATCTTCGAGATGTAAAAAATCAAAAGAAAATAAATGTTTAATTTTGTTGAAAATATATTTGAAAATTATAATATAAATAAAGTTGCACAGTATTTGCTTACTTCACGTCAAAAACGAAAAATGTAAAATAAAAGTAAAAAAAAACAACAAAAAATGGTACAAAAATCTTGAGAAAAAGATAAAAAAATGAAAAAAACACGTACAAAAATCCACACAAAGTGCATAAAAAAAGACTATAAAAATAGGCAAACAATTTGACAAAAGACGATTAAAAACAAAAAACAAAAACTAAAACCAAAACCGAAATGTCGAAAAACGAAAAATCGAAAAGTCGAGAAACTCAGAACAGAGAAATCGGAAAAGTCGAAAAAACAAAAAATATAAAATTTAAAAAAAAGTGAAGAATCAAAAAAGCAAAAATCGAGTAATTGAAAAATTCCAAAACTGAAATATCGAAAATAAAAATATATTGGAAAATAAAAAAATCCAAAAGTCGAAAAATCGAAGAACCCAGAAATCCAGAAATTGAAAAATTGGAACTTCAAGAAATCGGAGCCTCAAAATATTGAGAAATCAAGAAGACGAAGATTTGAAAAACTGAAAAATGCAAACTTAAAAAAAACCGATGCATCGAAAAATGGAAAACCCAGAAATCAAGAAATCGAAACCGATAAATTGAAACATCAAGAGCTCGGAACATCAAAAGATCGAGAAATCGAGGAGTCGAGAAGTCGAAAAATCGAAAAATCTTCAAAAAATGGAAAAAATTGAAGTACATATTAAAAAGTTTAATATTTGGAATTCGAAACATCAGAATATTGTAAAATCGAAAAAGATGAAAAACCGAAAATTTTAAATTTTAAAAATCGATAAACTCTGAAATCAAAAAACTAGAAATAGCGAAATTAAAAAATCAAAAATTTAAAAAATCAAAAAAATCAAGAATTTTAAAAACGAATAATTGAAAAATCGAAAAATCAAAACACCGAAATCCGAGAAATCGAAAAATTTCAAAACTGACATGTACAAAAATTACAAAATTGAAAAATCGAAAAATCGAAAAATAAAAAAAAACAGAAATCGAAAAATCGAAAGTGAAAAATTAAAACATCCAGAAATTGAAACATCAGAAGATTGCAAAATTGGGAAGTCGAGAAAATGAAAAGTCTAAAATTTAAAAAATCGAAAAACGTAAAACATGTATATAATCGACAAATTGAAAAATCGAAACATTTAAGAAACAAAAAATTGAAAAATTGAAAAATTTCAAAACTGAGATTTCCAAAAATTTCAAATTCAAAATACTGGAGAACAAAAAAATTGAAAAGTCGAAAAATCCAAAAACCCAAAAATCCAGAAATCGAAATTGAAAAATTGAAACATCGAGAAATCGGAACATCAAAGTATTGGGAAATGAAAAAGACGAAAATTCGAAAAATTGAGAAATAAAATAGCTCAAACTCGAAAAAGTGAAAAATTCAAAATTGAAAAACATAAACTTAAAAAAAATCGAAAAATCCTAAAAATGAAATGCCGAAAAATCGAAAAGTCGAAAAATGAAAAAACACAGAAATCTATAAACGAAACTGATAATTTGAAATATTAAGAACTCGGAACATCAAAACATCAAGAAATCGACAAATCGAGAACCGGAAAATCGAAAAATATTCGAAAAATGGAACACTTGAAGCATATACCTATTAAAAAATTTAGAATCTGGTAATCGAAACATCAAAATATTCTAAAATCGAAAAAAAAAAATTAAAATCGATGAATTAAGAAATCAAAAAGTTAGAAATCGAGAAATCAAAAAATCTACATTTAAAAAAAAATGAAAAATTGAAAAATCAAAACCTCGATAAATCGAGAAATTGAAAAAATTCCAAAATTGAAATGTCGAAAAATTTTAAATTGGAAAATTGAAAACTCGAAAAGTCGAAAAATCAAAAATCTGAAAAACTAAAACAACGAGAAATCGGAACTTCAAAATATTGAGAAATCTTGAAGATTTTTAAAATATAAAATTTGAAAAATTGAAAAATTAAAAAATCAAACAAATTTAAAAATTCTAAAAATCGAGAAATCGAAAAATCTAAAAACCCAGAAGACAAAGAAATCGAGAAGTCAAGAGAGAAAATCGAAAAATTAAAACATTCCAAAACTGAAATACCGAAAACTGAAAATTCAAAATATTGGAAAATCAAAAAACTGAAAAATTGAAACATCGAGAAATTGAAACATCAAAATATCGTGAAATCAAAAGGACGAAAATTCCAAAAATTCAGAAATCGATATAGCCCAAAATCGAAAAATTGAAAAATTCGAAAACTGAAAACTGTAAACTTTAAAAAACCGATACATCGAAAAATCGGAAAAGTCCTAAAACTGAAATGTCGAAAAATCGAAAAGTCGAAAAATTGAAAAATACACAAATCGAAAAATCAAAACTGATATAAAGTAAATTGAAACAACAAGAACTCGTAACATCAAAAGATCGAGATAAACCCAAAAATATTCCAAAAATGGAAAAATTGAAGTACGTATGTATTAAAAAATTTAAAATGTGAAATTCGAACTATCAAAATATCTATTGTAAAATCGAAAATATAAAATTTTAAAAATTGATAAACTAAGAAATCTAACAAGTAGAAATCCAAAAATCAAAAATCTAAAATTTTAAAAACGAAAAATTGAAAACAAGAAAAATTGAAAAATCAAAACAACGAAAAATCGAGAAACTCAGAAAACCCAAAATTGAAATGTGAAAAAATTGAAAAATTTTAAAATCTAAAAATCGAAAAGTCGGAAAATCAAAAAGCCCAGAAATCGAGAAATTGAGACATCAAAATATCGAGAAATACATCTTAAAGAATTTAAAATCGGCAAATCACAATCATTATTTTTATTACTATGCAATCGAAAACTGGAAAAATCGAAATATCTAAAATTTAAAAATTCGAAAAAATGAAACGCACAAAAATCGAGAAATGGATTAAAGATTATTATTATTATCATAGAAATTGAAAAATTGAAATATTCAGAAACTGAGTAGATGAAAAATCGGAAAATTAAAAAATAGAAATAACCTAAAATCGAAAAATTAAAACATTCAAAATTGAAAAATGTACATAAATTGAAAGAACCGATAAATCAAAAAATTGAAAAATCGAAAACCAGAAAACTGAAGAATAGAAAAATTTTAAAACTGAAAAATTGAAAAATCGAAAAATCAATAATTTTAAAAATCCAAAAATTGAAAAACCGAAAAGTCGAAAGGCAAGAAACCGAAAAATTTAAACATCAAAAAATTCTAAAAATTGAAGAAATGAAAAATCGAAAAAGCGAGAAATTTAATATTTAAAATTTAAAAAATCAAAAAATTAAAATACCCAAAAATTAACCCACCGAAAAACTGAAAATTCGAGAAACCAAAACATCAAAAAATCGAAAAATTGAAAAATTGAAAAATCGAAAAAGACTTCGAAGTGGTGAAAAAGGTTACAAAACAAAAAAAATTAAAAGGTAGAAACTGCACAAAAAATTTCGTAACGATAGACAAAAAAAAGTAGAAACAATATGAAGAAAAAATGCTATAAATAAGCACCACGACCAAAAAATATACAGAAACGAAATTGAGTAAAAACGGGAGCAAAAAACTTCCAGCAAGATAAAAAAGTAAAAAAATAGAAAAAGATTTGGACATCAACAACCAGAAATCAGCAACAAAATAGGCACGAAAAATCTCACAAACCAACAAAAGATCACAAAAATGGCGACGAAAAAAGTGCAAAAAAATACAAAAAAACAATAACAAAAAAATGTAACAATAAGAACAAGAAAATATGCCCCAAGGCCATATAAAATGCAACAAAAAAGAAGAAAAAACATAAAAAGTACAAAAACGACAAAAGAAAGACAAAAGAGACATCGTAAAACTAGAAAAAAAGAAAAATACATGAAACCAGAAAAAAGAATGTCAAAAATATAACAGTAATGCGAAAGAAAGCGCGTCAAAAAAAAGACAAAAGGAGATAAAATGGTGAAAAAAGTTAAACAAAAAAGAAAAAAAACATTGATAAATAGAAACGACAGAAAAAACAAGTAACTGCAGACGAAAGGTACAAAAAGCACAAAAGATACAAAAAACACAAAAGGTACAAAAAATATGGAAAAAAGACTACAAATAAGCACAAAACGATGGCCAAAGTATACAGAAAGGAAAAACGGGTAAAAACGGAAGCAAAAAACTTCACAAAAACAACAAAAAATAGAAAAATATTTGGACATAAAAACCAGAAATGAGCAAGAATATAAGCACGAAAAAGCTCACAAATCACGAAAACATCGCAAAAATGGTGACGAAATGACAAAAGACGATAAAAAAACAGAGAACAACAATTGGAATAACAGGAAGTTGTATAAACTAACACACCAAACAATTTATAACGTTTACCAAAGGATGAAAAAGATTCATAAATAGCACAAAAACGACAGAAAGAAGACAAACAGAAGGTCAAAAAACTACAATAAAAGAAGTCAAAAAGACACAATTTTCTAGAGAAAAATGATCATAAAACGAGAAAAAATCCAACAAGAAATTACGCAAAAGGTTATAAAAAAACCACCGAAAAATCCATAGAACCAGAAAAAAGGATGACAAAACAAAAAGCCCGTGACAGCCGACAAAAGACAAAAAAAACCGGCCAAAGGATACAAAACGGAAAACGCATAAAAACGGGCACAAAAAAAAATTACATAGCAGAAAACCAAATTATTTATATTTTTTCGACTAATTCGTTACAATTTTTATGAAACATCATTTGACAAAAAAAAATATATTTAAACTGAAACGTAATCATTCACTTTTTTAAATTAGCTCTAGTGTGTTTCTTCTAACTTGCAAGACAGAATGAATTTGCATAATTCTAATAATAGCACATCGATAGCTTGATCGACAGATCGATAATTGATATTAATTACTTATCAATAAAACTTGCAGTCATCCAAAACACTTTTCCGTGTAAACTCAATTAAAATTAGTTAAAAACCAATCACCGACAAAAAGTGCATTCCAATGCGCTTGTTTACTGATCTCCGTCTACAAAAATCGCACCCAACGTCCTTCCCAATCCCATCACCGTCCCATCCATTACCCGCAATTATCCGCACAAATTCCATCCAAATTAGTAAACTGTACCATCTCCCCCCCGAGGCCATCGCCGGGTCAAACGGCAGCCACACTTCTTTGTACAAATGAACTTTGAGATCACAATGCCAAAATAATGATGGCATCTTGGTGGTGGTAAATGTCAGCGCGAACACGCAGCGACGGTAAATACAGTCCGGGCAATACAGGGATCATCTCATATAAAAGCGAGAACCTTCATCTCATCTTCAGTCGCTATTGTGGTCACTAGGTACAAAATTCCGCAATGAAATTGGTAAGAACACACCCGACGCCCTCGCCCTACCTCACCCGTTCCACAGATTTCAGCTCTGGCCGTCCTCGTGGCTTGCGCCGCCGCCGCGCCCCAACGGGACTCCAAAGACGCCGTCATCGTCAAGTACGAGAGCGACAACATCGGCCTGGATGGATACAACTTCGCGTACGTATGGCGCGATTTTTGGGAAAGTTTTGACGGTTTTTCGCAGGTATGAGACGAGTGATGGGACTTCGGCTCAGGAGCAAGGGCAGCTGCAGAACGCTGGGTCTGAGAACGAGGCGATTTCCGTCCGCGGACAGTTCTCGTTCGTGGGGTTGGACGGTCAGACGTACACGGTGACGTACGTAGCGGACGAGAACGGGTTCCAGCCACAGGGAGCGCACATCCCCAAGAGCGCCTAATTGTTAGTTTTGTAATTTATGTGACTGCCATCTCGACCGCCGGTTTTTACACAGTTTTCATAAAACTGTGCAAAAATCGATTATTTATAAAAATGTAAATAATAAACTATAGACACACCAACACCTCTTTTATTGCGTTAGCACAAAGCCCATCTTACGAAACCTCTTCTACTCTTCTATGACATTAATAATAGAAAGCTACATTCCACGATTTATCATAGTATTCATAGTACACGGATAATTTCTCTCAATTTTAATGACGAAAAGCTTACGAAACATTTTCACACAAGAAAATCGAAAAAACGCACCGTTGGGACACTTTCCGGCGAAGACCAAAAAACAAACGGAAACAGTTCATTTTGACATTTACTTCAACGTCGTTAAAATTTCGTCCTTCACCTTTTCAGCGCATCATTTTCAGTGTTTTTTTTTCAGATTTTCTGCGGATAGAACCGTAAATGGGTTTTCATTACCACGGTACTTTTACGTGACATTTGTCTGATCTTTTGAGTGTGCTTGACTGTTTTTTTCAAATTGAGTGTTTCATCATGGTTAATTTTAACCAAGCGGTTGAAAATGCCGTCGAATTGTATAAGCATAGAAAAATGTTCGTAATTACGGATTTATTTATTTTTTACTCGAGGTTTAAGTGTTGGTTAATAATTGCAGGCTTTTTTATTTTTACAAGTGGGTTAGCGAGATTTGAGTAAACATGCATCTAAATTGTCTGATTAGTACCGAAATCGCGGTAAAATTTTATTGGTTATGACATCTGGATTGCGATTTTAGGATTAGTACGGCCCACTGGGAGTTGCTTAAGATGGGCAAATTAAGCAGTCAAACAACGGCTAATGGTACTGTCATTATCACTTAATAATCGAGGGAATTAATTAATCATAATAATTATTAATTATTTAAATTAGTTACGATTTCGTGGCGATTAAATTTGTTTCGGTCTTATGCAAATTTGCACGGATTTAACGCTGATAAAATCTTCACCCACCATTATTGGAACGACTCATTATTTCTGTACCGGGTGTCGCGACCTTCTAATAATGGGAGATTACTCAATTCGTGTGAACCGATGAAATTTAACAGAGTCTGGTAGAATTTGTTTGGGTTTACAGTGTAAGAAATGTACGGAAACATCAGTGACATAAAATTTGATAATATGAGATGATAAAACATCTACGTATTTTTAAATGTCAATGTCTGTCTTTGTAATTAATAACAATTTTATAGCTTTTTACTCTTTTGACAAAATAAATTTATGAATTAAATCATCACACCGGTAAAATGTTATTATCTGATTATCATATACAACTTCTGCTTAATATTCAGATAAAACTATTTTATAGAGATTATACTTGTTGATATTTTAATTTAATGAATGCATTGTACCATGAAGCGCATGTTTGTAAAGTAGATGTGAATTGTAAATTAAAAATATCTGCAAATTTATTCACGTCGAACTTCCTTAGTCGTTGAAGCACGCAAATCTGAGCACACTTTTAAAATGTTTAACAATTTTTTGAATTGATGTCATCAACTCTACAACTGAAACACAATATAGGTAACTGTAGTAGGTAGTAGGTTTTTTTTGTCTAGTTGTTTGTTTAGTCTTGAACTCGTGGCTTATGAATCCGTCTTGAATTTTTATTTTAAACATCGATACTTTTGGGAAAGAAATCAAAATGTAACCATGTTTTGATTTTTTTTTGATCTTTCAACTTTCGATTTCTCAAATTTTCGATACTTCAATTTTGCGATTTTTCCGTTTTTTATTCATTAATTTTTATTCTCGATTTTCAGTTTTACGATTTTTAAATATTTCAATTTTTCAGTGTTTGATGTTTGTAATTTTTCTTTTTTTTTGTTTTCTCAATTTCTCCATTAATCGATATTTTTTATTTTTTATTCTCCTGTTTCTCGATTTCTCGACTTTTCAGTGTTTCGATTTTTCAGTTTTTCAACTCTTCAGTTTTTCGATTTTTGTGTAACGAGTTTTAGGTTTTTGATTTTTCAATTTTTCGATTTTCAAAATTTTGATTTTTTTGACTTCGATTTTTCGACTTTTCGATTTCTCCATATTTCAGTTTTTCGATTTATCAGTTTTTTTTTTTTCCAATTTTTCGATTTCTCGATTTCTTAAATTTTCAATATTTAATTTTTCAATTTCTAAAATTCTAGATCTTTTGATTTCTTGATTTCTAAATTCGCCGACTTTCAATTTCCCAATTTTTCCATATTACAGTTTTAGAATTTTTCAGTTTTTTATTCTCCATATTTTCGATTATTCAATTTGTTAATTTTTCGAATAGTTAATTTTCCAATGTTTCAGTTTTACGATTTTCACTTTTTCTGTTTTTCAATTTTTCGACTTCGATTTTTCAACTTATCCATTTCTAGATTTATGCATTTTCAATTTTTTCAATTTCTTGACTTTTGAGTTTTGGGATTTTTCAATATTTCGATTCGTCAATGTTTCTTGTTTTCGTTTGTTTACTTTTTGGATTTTTTAATTTTTCGATATCTCAATTCTGGGATTTTTCAAATTTCGATTCTTAAATTTTTGATTTTTCGATTTCTCGGTTTTTTGCTTTTTGCATTTTTCAATTTTCCGATTTTTCAAAGTTTAGATTTTTCATATTTCGACGTTTCTAAATTTTCAATTTTTCGGTATCTCAATTATCTCGATTAATCGAATTTTTGATTTTCCCGTTTCTCGATTTCCCGACTTTTCAATGTCTGGATTTTTTAGTGTTTCAATTCTTTAGTTTTTCGAATTTTCAATGTCGATTTTTTAGGGTTTTTTGTTTTCAATTTTTCGATTTTCTACATTTTCGATTTTTCGACTTTTTGATTTCCCGATGTTTCAGATGTGGAATTTTTCAATTTCTCGATTTTTCATTTTTTCCATTTCTCAATTTTTCAGTTACTATTTCAGTTTTGGTTTTTTCCAATAGTTCCACTTTCAGTTTTTCGATTTCTCGATTTTTACTTTTTAGAATTTTCAATTTTTCAATTTTTAAATTTTAGATTTTCCAATTTTTCAATTTTCTGATTTTTGGATGTTCCGTATTTCAGTTTTAGGATTTTTCAATATTTCGATTTTTCAATTTTTGGATTTTTCAATTTTTTCTTGTTCAGATTCTTCAATTTTCGATGTTTTAGATTTTCCAATTTTTTAATTTTTCGATTAGTCAATTTTCCGATGTTTCAGTTTTACGATTTTCAATTTTTCGACTTTTCAGTTATTCGATTCTTCAATTCATCGATTTTTCAAAGTTTTTTATTTTTCAGTTTATCGAGTTGCTAAATTTTCGAATTTTCGGCTTCGATTTTTCAACTTTTCCATTTTCCGATTTTTGAAATTTTTGTTTTCTCAATTTTCCGATATTTCAGTTTTGGGACTTCACCAATTTTTGATTTCTCGTTTTCGTTTTTCACTTTTTGGATTTTTCAATTTTTCGATTTTCTAATTTTCAATTTTTCAATTTTTTAATTTTTGATGTTTCTCGGTTTTTCGTCATTTTAGTTTTGGAATTTTTCAGTTTTTCGATTTCTTGACTGATTTATGGAGATTTTTTTTTATTTTCAGTGCAGTGCCGAGAGGGCTTAAGATTTCCAAGTTTTGATTTTTTAATTGTTTAGTTTCTCGTTTTTTGAATCTTTTAATGTTTTAATTTGTCGATTTTGTGAATTATAAAATTTTTAATTTTTCAATTTTTGACATAATTTTTTTTTGACTTGATTGTTAATTTTTCGATTCCTCGATTTACCGATTTTTCGATGTTTTTCATTTCTTGATGTTTCAGTTTTTGAATTTTTCGACGTTTCGATGTTTCGATTTTTCAATTTTCGATTTCCCAATTTTTCGCCATTTCCGTTTGGCAATGTTTCAATTTTCCGATTTTTCAATTTTTCAATTAATTAATTTTTAGATGTTCGATTTCTTGATTTCTCGGTTTTTCGACTTTTTGACTTTTCGGTTTTTCAATTTTTCAATTTTATCAATTTTAGATTTTTCCATTTTTCAATTTTCCGAATTTTTATTTTTTTTTTTTATCTATTTGATTTTACAATTAAGTGATCTTTTAATTTTTCCATATTTTAATTGTTAATTTTTCGGATTTCCATTTCTCGATTGATTTATAGATTTTTTTTTATTTTCAGTAGTGTCCAAGGGTCGATTTTTGGATTTTCCAATTTTTGGACTTTGGTCTAATTTGATTTATTAATTTTTCAATTTCTCGATTTACCGATTTTTCGATGTTTCGATTTCTGGATGTTTCAGTTTTTAAATTTTTCATCGTTTCGATTTTTCAATTTTCGCTTTCCCAAATTTTCGCCATTTCCGTTTTGAAATTTTCAATGTTTTTTTGATTTTGCAGTTTTTCATTTTTCAATTTTCCGATTTTTTGACTTCAATTTTTCCATTTTTCGGTTCTTCAATATTTTAATTTTTCATTTTTTTTTAAATTTAGATTTATCAATTTTTTGAATTTTTAAATATATTTGATTTTTCAATTAAGTGATTTTTCAATTTTCCCATATTTTAATTTTTCAATTTTTCGGATTTCTATTTCTCGATTGATTTATAGAGATTTTTTTTTATTTTCGGTACAGTGTCCAAGGGTCGATTTTTGGATTTTTCAATTTTTGGACTTTGGTCTATTTTGATTTATTAATTTTTCAATTTCTCGATTTACCGATTTTTCAATGTTTCGATTTCTGGACGTTTCAGTTTTTTAATTTTTCATCGTTTCGATTTTTCAATTTTCATTTTCCCAATTTTTCGCCACTTCCATTTTGAAATTTTTCAATTTAACGATTTTTCAGATTTTTCATTTTTCAATTTTTCGACTTTGATTTTTCAACTTATCCATATCTAGAATTATGAATTTACTATTTTTTCAAGTTTTCGAGTTTTGGGATTTTTCAATTCGTTACGATTTCTTGTTTTTGTTTGTTTTCTTTTTGGATTTTTCGATTTCTAGATTTTTTCCTTTTTGCATTTTTCAATGTTTCGATTTTCATATTTCGACGTTTCTAAATTTTCAATTTTTCGGTATCTCAATCGAATTTTTGATTTTCCCGTTTCTCGATTTCTCGACTTTT